TCTTGTGCTTCAACAATACATCTTTTCCAATTAATAGCCTGGACATGCACTCGTACTGGCTGACGCCAAAACCATAGACCATTGACGCATCTGAGCAGCAGCAGCAGCAGCAGCAGCAGCAGCAGCAGCAGATGAAGCAGCAGCAGCAGCAACTGTAGCAACAACAGCAAGAGAACCATCGTTACAACCAGCAGCAGCAAACAAGCAAACAACAGCAACAACAACAAGAACAACAGCATCATCATCAGCAGCAGCAGCAAGTGTCAGCAGCAGGAAGTGCATTTGTTGCACCTAATAGAGTGTCTTAGCTGCTGCTGCTGCTGCACCTCGTGCTGCGCCCCACAGCCAATGCCATGTATAACTAGCAGCACATGATCAACAGGTTCTCCTTTTGCTGCTGATGGCAGCAAAGGGAGACTCTCTTTTGTCCTCTCTGCTGCTGCTGCTGCTGCTCGGTCATCATCATCATCATCATCTGCTGCTGCTGCTGTGTCATCAGATGCTGCAGATTTCCCTGCTGCTGTATCTGCGCTGTTGCTACTCTGCAGCAGCAGCAGCTTATCAAGGGCATCATCGTCTTGCTGCTGCTGCTGCTGTCCAGCAGCAGCATCTCCTGCTACTGCTGCTCCCCCTGCTACTGCTGCTCCCTCTGCTGCTGACGAAGTAGAGTCCCTGCCATGCTGCAGCAGGGCATCATCTGTCAGCTGAACCTCCACTTCTTTCTGCTGCTCCTGTTGCTCCTGCTGCTGCTGCTGCTGCTGCTTCTGCTGCTGCTGCTGCTGCTGCTGCAGTGCAGCAGAGGAGCAGGTCCTCCCTAAGGCAGAGAATCGTCTACTTAATAGATGAGGAGACCTCAAGGGAGTCTTCATTGCCCTCGTAATAATTTCCTCCTCGTGGTCAACACCCGAACTGCTGCTGCTGCTGCTGTTGCTGCTGTTGCTGCTGCTTCTGCTGCTCCTGCTGCATTGGGAACTATTGTCTGACCCTGCTGCTGCTGCATCCCTGCTTCTTTGCTTGGTGGCTGATGGACCACAAGCAGCAACAGCAGTGCCTCTAGATGTGTGTACAGTTGAACCTAGTGCAGCAGCAGCAGCAGCAGCTGCTGCTGCTGCTGCTGCTTGTGCTGCACGAGGTGAGCTTCCGTCAGGTGACAGAAAGTGCGGAGATGTATCCTCCCCCTCAGCTGTCACCCCTGCTGCTTCTCCTTCTGCTGCTGCTGCTTCTGCATCTTCTGCTGCTTCTGCTGCTGCTGCCTCGAATATGTCTGATTGCTGCTGCTGCTGCTGCACTCTGGATACAGCAGCAGAGGAGCGGCTGCTGCGAAGGGACTCCCGCAGGCGCAGCAACGAACGTAGACGAATACTCTGCTCTCTTCCTGCTGCTGCTGCTGCTGCTGTTTCTTCTGCTGCTGCTGCGTCAGGCCCCGCAGAACCTTGATGCTCGACAGCAGCAGACTCAGGAGACTCAGGAGCTGCTGCTGCTGCTGCTGCTGCTGCAGTGTCTGCTGCGTTGTCGCCGCCACCTGTGGAGAGAGTCTTCAGAAATGATTCCCACATCCCTGGAACGGGGGGAGCTGAGCAGCCACCTGCTGCTGCTGCTGCTGCTGCTGCTGCTGCTGCTGCTGCTGTTGTTGTTGTTGCTGCTGATGCTGCTGCTGATGGCTGCTGCTCCTGCTGCTGCTGTTGCTTATATATGATGCTACTGCAGCGCGAAGGGCAGCAGCTGCTGCTCTACGACGCGCTTCCTTCAATGCAGTTGTTAGAAATCTTTTCGTTAGGTGTACCGGCAGCTGCAGCACGACCTGCTGCAGCCGCTGCAGCAGAACCTGCAGCAGCAAGCAGCAGCGGGAGGTGGACCATGCGCTCTAGCAGACTGGGTGTAGGCTTGGCGAAGCTTGTTGCCGCCGCTGCTGCTGCTGCTGTTGCTGCTGCATGCAACACTGTGGATCTGCGAAGCCTCAAAGGGCCCCCGCCTGCTGCCTACAGCAGCAGCAGCAGCAGCAGCAGCAGCAAAAATACTAATTGACAATAATCCCTTAAATAAGAGTCATAAAATAGATTAAAATGAGTAGATAAACAAAAGAAAAAGAAGCGAGAGGTGTGTATGTTTGCTGCTGCAGAGGAGGAGCAGCAAACCTGTATCCTGTGTGTGCAGTGTTGCTGCTGCTCAGCTGCTACTATTTTTGCTGCTGCTGCTGCTGCTGCAGCTGTCAATCATACAGACTACTGGTAATGTGTCTTTATATTTAAACATTGTTAATATTATATAGAAGAATTTTGCTGTAGTGTTATCTTGCTGCTGCTGCAGTGGTTGCATGCTGCTGCCGCTGCTGCTGCCGTTGGTGTTGTATGCCTGCCCGCCTTGATTGTTTTTCTCCTTCTTTCCCTTCATCCTTTTGTTTATCCTTTTTTTTCTTCTTTTTCCTTCTTCTTATTTTCCTTTAATTACTTTTATTAATAATAACCCCTAGTTTATTAGATCTGCTGCAGCAAAGCATCAGCAGCAGCCTGAGCCCTGTGGTGCTGCGCCATTTAGAGCAGCAGCACACGAGCAGCAGCTGCAGCAGCACAACAGCAGCAGCAGCAGCAGCACTTCCAGAGAATGTCTGGTAGAGGAGCAGGAGGTCCAGGTCGGTCTAAGAGGGGTGGAGGAGGAGGCGGCAGCAGCAGCGGAGGCCGCGGCAGCCGAGGAGGCCGAGGCAACAAACCCCACCGGGGTAGCCGTGTTGTTCCTTCTATGGAGGAAGTACTAGCAAGAAATGCTGCTGCTGCTGCTGCTGCTAGTAGCTCAGCAGACAGTGCAGATGAATCAGAGGAGCATAAGGAGGACCAGGAAGATGATGACCAGCAGCAGCAGCAGCAGCAAAATGGTCGCAGACAACCGTTTGCACAGCTAGCTGATGATGTGAGTCTTCCTGTCAATGCAGCAACAGCAGCAGCAGCAGCAGTAATAGAGGCAGCAGCAGCAGCAGCAATAGGAGTAGCAGCAGAAGTAACAGCAACAGAAGTAGAAGCAGCAGTGCAGCAATACAAATAGAAGGAGCAGCAGCAGCAGCAACAGCAATAGCAGAAGTAGCGGCAGTAGTAGCAGTAGCAGTAGCAATATAAGGAACAGCAGCAGCAGCAGCAGCAGCAGCAGAAGCAGCAGCAGCAGCAGCAGCAGCAGCAAGTTGTGTAATTGTTGTATTTTATTTATTTGTTTGTTTTGTGTTTAGGACGGAGAGCCACTCGTACGCTAACTCAATTCTTTTTGTCTCCTTCTTTGTCACCTTTTTGTCTCCTTTTTGTCTCCTTTTTGTCTCCTTTTCCTCTCCTTTTTGTCTCCTCTCTTTGTCTCCTTTTTGTCTCCTCCTTGTCTCCTTTTTTATCTCCTTTTTTGTCTCCTTTTTGTCTCCTTTTTGTCTCCTTTCTTTGTCTCCTTTTGTCTCCTTTTTTTTTTCTTCTTTTTTATTAATGGCATTATAAGTGTCTCCTTATTTACCTTATAAAAAAAGGAGACACAACAAATACACAACCATCTGCTGCTGCATTTGCTGCTGCCGCTGCTGCTGCTGTTGCTGCTGCTGCTGTTGCTGCTGCTGCTGCTGCTGCTGCTGCAGATAGGAGCTGGTAACCTGAATCGTGGTGGTGGATGTAATGGTCAGTCCATCGGTCCATCAAGAAGAGAAAGAGAGGCACAAGAAAAAGCTAAACAAGCAGCACTTATGCAGGTATATATTATTTATTTATTTATTGTCTCCTTTTTTATTTGTCTCCTTTTTTTCTTATTGTCCCCTTTTTATTGTCTCCCTTTTATTGTCTCCTTATACTGTCTCCTTTTCTCTCTTTTTGTGTCTTTTTTATCTGTCTCTTTTATCTCTTTCCTTTCTCCTATCAGTGCAGCAGCAGCAACGACAGCAACAGCAGCAGCAACAGCAGCAGCAACAGCATTGCTATGTGTGTATTATAATATATAAATATATACATTAATTAATTTATTTATTTATTTATTTATTTATTTATTTATTTATTTATTTATTTATATGTGCAGAAGTTACAAGCAGAAGGAAAGACAAGTCGTGCTAAGGCAGATCTTGCCAGGTATAAATAAATAAATAAATAAATAAATAAATAAATAAATAAATAAATAGATAAATATTATTTTTATTATTATTGTTTATTATTATTATTGTTATATATAATTATAATTAGTAATATATATTATTATATATTATTATTTATACTTATATATTTTTATTACTGCTAATAGTATTAAATAACTAAATAATTTAATTAATTAATTAATTAATTAATTAATTAGTTAATTATATATAATTAATTAGGCATTTAATTAATAATATATTTAATTATAAATATATATAAATATTTCCTTTATTATTGTTGTGTCTTTGTGTACTGCAGATTAGCAGAAGTGCGCAGGAGGAGAGAAGAAGCAGAAAAGGCAAAGGCCACTCCTTAAGCAGCAGCAGCAGCAGCAGCAGCAGCAGCAAGAGCAGCAGCAGCAAGAGCAGCAGCAAGAGCAGCAGCAGCAGCAGAAGCAGCAGCAATAGGAGCAATAGCAGGAATAGCAACAGGAATTGCTGAAGCAGCAACAGCAGCAGCACCAGCAGCAGCCACAGCAGCAGAAGCAGCAGGAGTGCAGCAGCGGAGCAGCGCAGCAGCGCAGCACCCTTTTGCTAATTTCTTTGTTTATTGCCTTTCTTTTTTTCCTTCCTTTTCTTTCTCTTTGTTTGTCTTTTATGCTAAATAAAAAAAAAAGGGTAAATACTCAGCACGTTTATAGTGTATATAGCAGCAGCAAAGTGCTATTCTTGCTGCTGCTGCCGCTGCTGCTGTTGCATGCATTTCCTGCGGCAGCAAGGCCCTTAGAGGGCCCCTGGGGGGCCCCAGGGGCCCCCTCGTTAACCCTCATACTAGATTTCGTCCTTCTGTATATTGAAGATACGCACCCTGCTGCTGCTGTTGCTGCTGTTGTCTGCTGCTGCTGCTGATGTTGCTGCTGCTGCTGATACATTCATTGCCTAGGCTGGTGTTGCAGTTCTTTGTTGCTGCTGATACGTGCACTCCTATTATGTTAGCTGATGCTACTTGCTGCTGCTGCTAATTGCTGCTGCTCCTGCTGCTGTTAATTGCTACAGCAGCAGCAGCAGCGGCAGCAAATAGTATATTAATTATTAGGTGCTGTAGATCCTAGCCTAAGTACAACATCCTTAATAGGTCCTCCTATTGCTGATGCCCTTATACTAGATCTAATACTTTGTCTATTATTATTATCCATTAAGGATTGTCTTTGTCTTGTGCTGCTGCGTCTGCTGCGGTTCTTATGTGCCTTTATGTCTTGGGATATTAATGCATGCAGTAGCTGCTTAAGAAAATCTTCTTTGTCGTATATACCTGCAGCACAGCAGCAGCAGCAACAACAATAACAGCAACAACAACAGCAGCAACTATTGTGTCCTTAGAAGCAGCAATAAGTATACATTAATTATAAATTAGCTTACAATAATTCATTATTAATTTACTCGTTTATTACTATATATATGTATTATATATATATATATATATATATA